GAGGCCTCCTCAGTGGGCGCTCCTCCCCTCCGAGGCCCCTCAGTGGGCGCTCCTCGCCTCCGAGGCCCCTCAGCGGGCACTTCTCGCCTCTGAGGCCTCCTCAGTGGGCGCTCCTCGCCTCCGAGGCCCCTCAGCGGGCACTCCTCGCCTCTGAGGCCTCCTCAGTGAGCGCTCCTCCACTCCGAGGCCCCTCAGCGGGCACTCCTCGCCTCTGAGGCCTCCTCAGTGAGCGCTCCACCACTCCGAGGCCCCTCAGCGGGTGCTCCTCGCCTCCGAGGCCTCCTCAGCGGGCGCTCCTTGTCTCTGAGGCCTCCTTAGCGGGTGCTCCTCGCCTCCGAGGCCTCCTCAGCGGGCGCTCCTCGCCTCTGAGGCCTCCTTAGCGCGTGCTCCTCGCCTCCGAGGAATGGGTGACAATAGTTGAATAAACTTATGGCTCTCAAAATGGTACTGGTGCCCTATTTGTTGGTACTCGCCGATACCGATACCACCATTTTAGTGAAGTACTGGGGCCCCACCCGATACTGGTATCGGTATCGGTGCAACACTACTAAAAATGTAAAATTATAAAGAGTTGTTCGTCCTCTTTAGCTGTGTTAAATTTGATGAACAATTGAAATAGAATCCAAAATGTTGACCTTTCTTCCGATTATCATGGTGTTGTATTCTCCCAGAATGCCTCTGCCTTCACATGCTGGATGGAGTGATCTGTGGTGATTCATGACAAAATGTGGAGCGATAAGTATTCACTGTCTTATAAAGTAAAATGGTCGTCTTTGCATGAGTGCCAACTTTACTATCAATAAGCCTCTATTTACACAGCTATTTTTAAATAGCTGCATCTTATTTATTAACTCATATTTCCAATAACAGGGCCTACAGGTCCAGGACTATTCCAACTTTACCATTCCTCAGTGCACAACCGGATTCAGAAACAGCTTTATTGACAAACGGTATTTGATACAGTGAGGTTGCTTTGATGTCTCCTTCTGGAGTCGATGAGCCTCGATTAACCTTGATGAACCAGAAAACCACTGATTCTAACTCGCACTTCGCTCCTTTAAATCATTGAGGCTGAAGAGTTTGGAAGAAGCTTTCTTCATGAATCAAACAAGTCTGCTTAAAGTTCAGTATTTATTATAAAGACAGAAGCCCAGTTTTATTACCATACAGAAATCTCCCTTAATAAATCTATGTTGCAATAAACATTGAATCAAGAGATAGAGAGCAGATGTTACACTTAGTGAATCGAATCATGCAAGAACTGAACGTGAAAAGAGCACAAGGCTCAGTTTGCAGCCCCAGCAGCAGCGGCGGCCATCTGCTGCAGCCTCTGAGGGAGGGTGACGGTGAAAAAGTGAAGCCTGTGCTCCTTCAGTTTCTGCCTGGCTGTCTGGTTTTGGCCCAGCTCCATGTACTCCTGCTTCTGCCTGTCGTACAGCGGCCAGTTCACCAGACCAGGACCGTTAGGAGAGCTGGGGAAACATTGAGAGACAAACCAAATAATCTGTATGATTAAACATGAGCGGGAGAAGTAGACTTCTAAAGGTCTTTAGTTTTCTGCATGTCTTCTGCCTCCCTCTGGAATGAACAAAGTTTGCTCCACTTCTGGTTGCCTGGGATGCCCCCTGCTGACTATAGCAGGGATGCCATAAACCTGCAGGCCTTCAGATTGCCATGTCAATGGAGTAAACATCAGTCAGGGTTTGTTCCACAAGTCGGCGTCCAGCAGGTCAGAGATATTGTATTCTTAAAAACTTTAAGGCGAATAAAACACTTTTATTGTTTGTCATGTTCTACGGACGTGTGTCAGAAAAACAGCTAAAAAAGTCAGATCTTTAAACATTTTACCCACGATGGCTGATGTTCAGTTTTTGGTGTATGTGTCAGGAATCCAGTTTGTGTGGTCTGTTTTTGTGTTTCCTTTCCTCTTCCACCAGGTGGTGCCCCATCTTCATTGGG